TTCCTGAAGAAAATTTAAAAAAAATTTATCTAGTGGAAATTTTTTTACATTTTAAAACAGCATTTTCCTAAATAATTCAAGTTCTACCAGGTAGTTTTTTTTTATATCACGTATACAGGTAGAGAATGTGATGACGTTTAAGAAATTTGAAAAAAAAAACTAGGTCACCGACTTGGTTTTTGAGATATCTTTCAAAAACTGAGTTTTAGAGGGTCTTTTAGCACTACTGTACTGTTGCCATGGCAACAGATAATGCCTGACGAACCCCCTTAAAAGATTGCCCTAGCATAGTGATATGCAAATGTCAAGTCATTATCTTGTCCACGTCTACGTCCACTCTGTATTTCGAACCCAGTTTCTCTAATAAACGACACTCAGGAATGCGTGACGATATGTCATTGCGGAAGTTCGTGATACTTCCTTATCTAATTACCACAATTATCACTTTGGTTAGAGCCTAGCCTCACCTTCTTTCAAAGAAGTAGCATGACACTTCTCGCGATGGCAACTTCCGGGTTTTCTCACTTTACGAACTTTCCCCACGGCAGAAATTAAACGTGTCTCTGTTCACGAGGTTAGAAATTTCAACTTCTCCTTTTTCTATTATTACCACATGCATAATTTGGTTAAGATGACAACTAAGAAGGTATGATGAAACTTTCTAAATTGCAGACAATTTGAATCTTTGACAGATATTTTAAAATCAGAACTTTAAATATGTTATATTATCAAGTCAGGCATTCCTTCCACCTTCCCCGTACATAGTAGAACTGAATAACAAAAATTACGTAAACTCGGCTCTTTATGTTACAATCCTTGTTAAAAAAAAAATTTATCAAAATACATCGAAATGCCTTTTTTATTGATCATCTAATTTCCCAATAGATGGTAGTTTATATATTAGGGCGTCAAGATTGTTCCAGTATCCTGGTTGTTGTATTATGGATTTGTGACGCTCCCCTTTGCAGTGCAAATCCAGCTCACTATCTAGTACGAGCTCTTCGCAATGTTCACAATAAGCTTTTTTACTTGCTTTGTGTGCGCCGCCCAAAGCCCACTTGGATTCCCGGTCTTCCTCTACGTCTAAATTAAGTCCGAAACTTGTCAAATTCCTTGAAAATGGGGCAAAACCTCCTGGACTGATCTTCAACTTTGATAAAATGAGGTTTCAGTTCTCTAATTTTTGCACGTTTCCGGCGTTGGGTTTTTGAGGTCAGCTCGTTCCAATCTCGTTTTTCCCTTTGGATAAGTCGGAAAAATTCCCTTTTGGAATACACTGATATATCGTTCTTTTCAGCGACGTCCACGATTTTAGCATCATATGAAACAGTGGAGGAAAAATACTTGGAGGAGCTCTTAATTGCTCTTTGGCCTCGTGAATAGATATTGAATTGTACAGACGGTACAAGCTGGCAAGCAGTTTTCCGGCTTTTCACAACGAGATCTGTTACTTTGAGAACATCAAAGAATTCCTCTACTTTTCCGCCTAGATCAACTACAGTGTTTCTGAATTGAGAATTACTATCCTCAAACATAAAGAAAAACGTTCTGTTTTTGAAGTTAGGGAAGAGTTGATTAGAAATGTTACCTTCAAAGTTGCCGCTTCCGCGGAACGATGGC